CAGCCTCCTCTTGGAAAAATAAGTTTGTAGCTACCTCAAAGCTTATTGTTCAAAATTTGAAACCTAGAGGTGCTCCTAAGATCATCCCCATGTATCACCATTATGGTAAGGTTGGACATATGGGACCTAAGTGTCGTGAGCTCTTGAATAGAAATAAGACAAAAAGTATAAGTGTCTAATGATCGAAATCACCGGTACATCATAGGTTTCCTCCACTCAATGTTCAAAATTTGAAATTTAAAATTGTTCCTAAATTCATTCCCACATGTCATAATTGTGGTATTTTAGGTCACAGTAGACCTAATTGTCATGAGTCCTTAGTTATGTGCAATAATCAAGATTTAACTACTAGAATTAGTTTCTTGATTGATCAAGTGAATCACTCGACTAAATTGACTAAGATTACATTTTCTTTAAAAAAGATTTGGATCAAGAAAAGTGAACTCACTAGTCTAAGTGATGTTGATAACTACGATATTCCTCATGTTGCTCTTCATGGTAAGAGCATTTGTGTGCATCATTGATTAGGATTTAAGTGCATGCATCTGCTTTATTCATGATATTTATATATTTAAGCATGCACTCTATTTTTTATTTTATTTTTATTTTTTGTGTGCTTATTTATTTTTTAAAAAAATGAATGAATTTTTTTTCTTTTTTGGACATGTTAATTGTTATCAAGTACTAGTAAAGTTCATGAATGGTAAATTAAATTTTCATTAATTAGTTTAAAACTTGTTTTGAGTACTTGATATAGATTATTACATGTATCTTATGCACCGCACACATTAGACTCTTGTGAGTAGATTTTGATCGTATATTTGAGATTTGGGTTGGCAGTAATTTGTGTGGTGAATTAGCTTTGAATATGGATTGACCTTTGACTAGATTGACCTAAAGCTTTAGCCTTTAGTATATTCTCCTTAAAATAAAAATAAAATAAAATAAAAAAGATGACCGAGATTCAAAATTTTTGAAATATATGAAAAAGTAAAATTCATCTTATACTTTTTTTTTTTGGAGCCTATTTGACTCGAGCAATTAAACTTGGAGGTTTCTCATAACCTAATGCTTATGGTCAACTGACTTGGAGTCATCAGCCAAGCCTTATTACAGGGTCATCTTAGTAGCTCAATGAAGAAAATGGGGAAGGGATGTGTATTTATTTCAGAGAGTTGATTATATGAGTTAGGAAGAAAATTTTATAATTTTAAATTTTTTTTATTGATAGATGACTTAGGGGAAGTCATTTGATATATTTGTTGGAATTTTATTATTGATATAGTGTTGTGTTTTGTCTACATCGATATAAAATTTTATGATTTATTTCTAAGTTTATAATTCACATTATATTGCATGATTCAGTGTTACACATGTTTTATTTAACTTAGTTATATGATTTTGATTCTGGTAGTTTCCTCTTGCTTTTCACGTGGTATTATGGTTTTCATGTATTTCAAAAAATATGTTGACAAGTTGTTGAAGTGTAGTTTGAAAAGGGTCTATTTGGTAGATTGTATTGGACTTTTGATTTTGAAACAAATGATTTTGTCACGGAATGTCAAAGGAGGAGATTGTTGATTCCAAATTGTAATTGGCAATTTCTAAAGTCAAAATCAATTCCTAGTTAAAAATGTATAAGGAGTTTATAGAGTTATAATCAAAGTTAAATAAAGTTAAGAATTAGTAGTATAGGTCTTGAAGAAGTTCAAGATGTCAAAAATGTCCAAAAAGATCATATATAATTAAGAAAATACAATTAGAAGTCTAAAGGATGTCAAAGAGCTAGCAAGTTATGTTTCAAATTGTTAGTAGCAACTTGCAACATTTTTCACATAGAAAAAATTCGAATTTGGAGGATGTTACTTTAGAAAAATTGAAGCCCTTTGAGTTGGTTTTCTAACGCCTACTAAATCACTTCAATTGGCTATCATAAGAGAAATTTATGATGAAAATACCGACGATTACTCAATTGTCGTTGGCCTAGAGCTCAAGCAACGGCTCAACATCCAGAATTTTACTTTACTCCAAACACTGGTTTTTCAATTACTTTTAATTCCAAACACTTTCCATATTCAAATCACTTTTATTGATTTCCATATTCAAATCACTTTTATTTGATTCATAGATCCATCCAAACTTAGATTTGTTGATTGAGCTATAAACATTTATATTAATTTACATGTCACTCAAGATCATTGGTATTTGATCATTGATCAAATACCAAATCTACCTTTGCCAATTAGCCTCAGAGTTACTGAAGTTTTGGAAAGAGGTGCTAGGAGATTCGGCACTATGGAACAAGGTTCTTTCTTGGAGATCTACGGAAGATAAACGATACTATGGGTCGGGAGCTAGTGTAAGGAGGACGTGATCCAGGAGGCCAAGGTGATTAAGGTCAGAGGGGACTCAGATTTAGTCTCAACGTTTATAGTGGATTATTGACTGGCAAAGTGTCCAGAGTTTTTACCCAATTGAGGTTTCTTCGTGATCATCTTTGGTGTTCTTTACTGTTTTATTTATTGATTGTGGCATTCAAACCATATGATAATGTAACTTGATTAACTAATCACATAGAAATAATTAAAAGTGACTTGTTACTTGTTAATTGCTTATTTATGCACATTGAGTCTAAACAAATAAATAAATAGGTTAATTAGATCTTTCAATTTGGTCCTTCACCACCGGCATTGTCACCAATTGACATAGCTTTTTCACTTATATAACTTTTTTGGTAAGGCGAATGAGATTCGAGTTGACAGTATCAAAAAAAAGAAAGAAACTAAGTTTTTGTTCAATATTGCATTATTTTGTCCTATACAATAATATGTATCATACCGACACTTATTTTTGTATATGTGTAATCTATTTATATTATGTATGCAAGCAACTATCTTGTACTGATTAACAAAGAGGATAAATCATGAAATATAAATGATCTCCAGCCCACGGTTGACAGGAGTTATAATTTTCATTTGTTGACGTGACATGTCAAACATTTTTTCTTTTGAAAAGTCAAAAATAAAAATACAGTTTGATCGATGATGTGACGACGTCACGTTAGTAGAGGGCAATTGTTATCCTGTCCACTATAGGTAAGAGATCGGCTCTGAACCATGAAATAAATTTTGTGCATTTTAAACCTTATGTTCTATTTCTATGTTCAACTCGAGTAGGAATCGGTAGGGTGAGTTTTCGTCACTTTGGCCAACTTGAATGAATATATTGCAATAGCTATATTTCATCAACCTTGCTAATAAATTCTTCAATTTTATTTTAGAGCATGAATGCTTATCAAGCTTTTATGAGTAATTTATTCAGCCTGTTGGTGCTTGGCGCTCATTTATGTGGTAGCAAGATAATTGTTATATGTTTAGTGAAGTTATAATGTAATTTTAAATATTGTCCAATGTGGAGGTAATTTGTTGTCAAATAGATAGCACACTGGATTACCCAACCTTTATTTATAGAAACACTCCTATTAGTAATATATAAGAATATTACTTGTGAGTTCAAAACTTGATTAATCAACTAATGCAGGCATTTGATTTATATTCAAGAGAGACCTTAGTTCTAAATATAAATCGATAAAATTCTTAATAAGGAAAAGAAATATGATATCAAAGACACTTTTTGAGATTCATGACGATATACGAAAATGATCTCTTAAGCACCGGTGCTTAGTTTATGTTAAGTATCGATAACATGACACGTCATTTAATTGGTGTATAAATTAATAATATGTCCCATGTATTTAATGATTCACTAATTAAATAATGTATTATATCACTAGCGTTTAATATAAGCTAAACATCAGTGTTTAGGAGATCATTCATGTGACAATATAATATATATCCTTTTATCTTTCAGAGATATGACTGATTTTTCATATTTCTAAATTTGAGTTTCATATATACCTAAAGTATCCTTGTGAAGAAATAGATGAATTTTTATTTTTTTTACAATTAACATAGTATTCTACAATATAACATAGTCATCATTTGAAAATAAATTTTGAATGTACATAATATTTTCATGGACTAAGTTTCTTTAGCTATAGTTTATTTGATTTGTAAAATATATATTATATATTTATCGTCTTGTTTTAGTCTATAAATTTATAAATTTAAATTTTTATTGATAAGTTAGCATTTGTTAATAAATATGTATGTGTGTTTGAGCCACATTATTTTGAAAGAATGTATTTTGGAATAGTAGATTGATGGAGAATGTGTGGTTAAAAATGATGAAAAGTTTTAGATTTACGTATAATATTATTTTATTGAAGAATGTGTGATTGAAATGATGTCAAATCACTGTTTAAGAATGTATTTATTTGAAAAGAAAATGTAGCTCAAACAGAATTGACTAAAAAAGCTTTGCATCATTTATTATCAAATTATTCAATAAATCTTAAGCAATTTTTCAATAGCATGTATATCAAAAAAAAAAAAAAAAATCAATGTATGCACAAAACATTGAAATATTAATTTATTATTAAAGGGAACAAATTAAATTATAATTAATGGAAGAAAATTTCTTTCAAGGGAATTTTGGGTATATGTTTCAGATAATATATGGTTCGATAGTGATCGGGATGTATGTGATATTCAAAATTAGAAATATGAGAAACTTGAGATATTTTTTAAAAGGTGAGGGTGTCTTCAGATATTGTTAAAAACTCAAGGGTGTTTATGATATTGTTTTAAAAAAGGGCTATATAAAAAAAAATAATAAATAAATAGAAATATATACACACACACAAGTACAGTGCATTAAATGGAGGAGAATGAGAGTGCAGAAATGGCGCAAAGGAAGCAACCGAACGATGGCGACAGTTCGTGGCTGTTTAAATCAATTTTCAGTTTGAGCAACAAAACCTCCACCGGCGATGCAAGAGATTCGACGAAACACGATCAACCGATTTCTGTTCTCTCTACGCTTGCTAATTCCGTCATCTCTAGCTGCGCCAAGTAATTAATTGCTACTTTATTATCGTTTAATTTCAAATTTTATTTCAATTTCTTCGTCCGGATTATTGATTTAGAGTTTTTGGATTGATTGCAAATAATGATTTATAATGGAATGTGATCGGATGACACGCTGAGAGTTGAGCTTACGAGCAGTAATAGATTCCAGTTCGTGAATATGTACGCTTAGCAGCAAGTACTGTGAAACCGTTTTCATGAGGCTTGTATTTAAAATTGTGGATATATTTGGTAGTGAACATCAAAATAAAGGAACTGCATCGTTTGATCACCCCAAGCCCTAAAAATTAGGACAAGAAATTCTGAAGTGGTGAGTGCAAGTCACATTTGCTATTTTTTTATCTCAATTTGTTTCCAATTATTATGTGGCCTTCTTGTAGAGAGGATTTTCTCTTTGCTATTGCCATACATAACATTGACATTGCATGGCTTTGCGTTGGACATTTGAATCTCATTTAACATACAAGTTTATGAGAGGGAACTCAGTGAGTTCAGAAACGTGGTGCATATCCCATCATTGCATGATGACATATGGAGTATCAATAATACCTTTTATTGAAAACTTAATGTTAGACTTTGGATTCAGTAATTAAAGGCATTGAACTTGAAACAGTTGAGGAAGAACTTTTTCCCTTGCTCCTGAGCATTCCCTTCAGTGATCTCTGGGCAGTCCAATGGGATGGGATAGAGCTAGCACCTAGGTCCCCAAAGTTATTGGTCATCTTTGTTTGATATCAGATAAAAAGATGCCAGAAAACTTTCTAAGTATTGCATGTTAAATGAAATAAAATATTTACTTATGAAAAGTTGTAACTAGATACAATATCACAACTCAAAATGATAAGTATTTCAAGGTAGAATAATATAAGAGCTCTGGAGAGAGGTCAGAGAATGGTTCAGACATGTATCTTAGGGAGAGAGAGTTTGATTGGATAAAAATGTAACGATGTGTTAAAAACTGAAATGGAAGGGACCTTAGGCTACTCGTTGTAGCTTGTGATTGGGGCTTCAGTATTGGAATCAGAACTAAATTTTGGTTATGACTTCTAATTCCAATGCCCCATTTCTATACTGCCAAAGCTAGTGTTAATATTTTGGTGTCGTTTTTGTGTTTGGATAACTAAGTTTACTCGAGCACATGTGAAATTTATGAGAATGTCATAAGAATTTTTTTTTGCAAATATGACAAACAATACAGGATTCAACACATACAGGCATGTGTTGAAGCACTAGAAAAGTTGAAAAGAAGAAACATATAATAAATGTGATTTAAAACATGTCATAATATATTTGATTTAAAACATGTTAATTGTGTGAACTTGTTTTTATGATGGAAGTTACATTGATGACAGGGTATGTGATGTACGTTAATTCGAGCGGATCTGACAAAGAAGAGGGACAGCATGTTAAATCTGTAAATATACATTTGGGAAGGGAGCACTTTACCTTTGGTGGGATTCCTACTAAACCATTGGCTATTTATATTTTACTGTGCTATGGAGATTGAATTGTGATTGATAGTATAGAGTAGATATTCTAGGAGAGAGCAAGTGATACTAGGATTTTAACCAAAGGATGTCCTCTCTTATTATTGCATATTGTATATCTTCAATTATATATCAAAAGATGATGAAAGTGCTAGGTCTTTGAATTTCACGAATAAATGGATAAGACAGGATTCCCCTTAGATTTCAAATTCTGATACACAAAATCCCAACAGAGTTTCTAATATTGACATGCAAAGACCAAGTACAAGTAAAAGGAAATGAAATAACTTCTTAAGTTGATTGTTTGGTTGCTCCAACCATATTGTATGGAAATGAAAACAGTATCCGGAATAATATCTCTCCCTTTGTTGTCCAGCTCAAAAAACCTGTCCTTCATGGATTTAACATGAAAATAGAGGGACTGACCATCAACTTTTGTTCTGAATTTATAAAATAGATCTTTAGAGAAGCTAAATGAGCTCATGGTATGACAAAAGAGTTAGTTATTCAGAATGGTGATGTTTGGTTCGTTTGGAACTAAGGGGAAGCACAGAACTACAATAGTGTTTTGCCCTGGTGATTTCCATTCCTCAACAAGTTTGAATGGTTTTCAGGATCCTTGGTACATCTACTGAAGAGTTACAGCATAATTTTGATGTGGAGCTTCCTGATCATCTCAAAAAACCTCCAACCTATGCACGGAACTTTCTGGAATTCTGCTCATACAAAGCTCTGCATCTAGCAATTACACGTCCTAATTATTTGGGCAACAAGGGGTTTCACCGCTTGACGTTTGACATGATGCTTGCATGGGATGCCCCTGGTGCTGATAGTGACCTCATAGTTAACGTAAGACAGAACTGGTCCTTTTTCTTACAGCTTTGAAAAGATGTATGTCACATTTTTTATTACCAATAAAACGAAAGAGTTAGCACGTGTTAATAGCAATATTTATTAGACCTTTTTAAACAAACTGTGAGGATATGTCTCAAATCATTTTTTTTTCTTTTTTGAGATTGAACTGTCTTAAAGGCCATACAGTTGCAGGACACTGCTTCTTGCAGTAAACAGGATGTGGAGGATGAGGACGGTTGGTCACTATTTTATTCTAATTCCACCAATATGGCTGTTCAGGTTTTTTCTTCCCCATTTAAACTTTAATTTTGACAGTGACGTATAGAAATGATCTGCAAATAGTTTTGCATACTAATCATACATTTCAAGTATCATTTATTTTTTCTCATTTTCTCGTTGATAATGTCAGGTTGATGACAAGAAAACTGTTGGTCCAGAGGGTTTTGCACGGATAGCTCCAGCATGTCCTATTATTGCAGATATAATAACAGTTCACAATCTCTTTGATGTTCTGACAAGTTCATCAGGTCATCGACTTCATTTTCTAATATATGACAAGTACCTTCGGAGTCTTGAAAAGTATGCATCACTTCCTTGAGCTTAATAGTTGATTCAAGACTGGTACCTTCAAGTGCATACTGTGTTTTTTTTTTTTTTAACATTGAAAACCATGATGTTGAAATGAATGCTTTTAATGATAATCGTCCATTACTGTCGTACTTTTGATGTAGGGTTGTGAAATCTGTGCAAAATGTGGGACCTCAAATCATGTCTAACTGTTCACTTGCTGAGGATGAGATCATCGTTGATATAGATGGTACAGTCCCCACCCAACCAGTTTTGCAACATGTTGGGATGTCTGCATGGCCTGGTAAGTTGTAGCTCTTCCTACTGATGTTGATTAGATTGGTAAATACTCACGAAACCTGTTGCTGGCTGTGCAGACATTACTAAGCCCCTGTTTGGCCCCCATTTCTTAATACTCATTTTTCCGCGAACTCATTTTTATCACACATTTCATGAAACTCACAAATTTAATCAAATTTCCGACCACACATATTACCAAATTTTATCAAAATCTAATAAAATTTTAATTTTTATCCAAACCAAACAGGGGCTAAATATCCAAATTGACTAAAAAGAGAGCGAGGAGACTTTAAACGTTTCAATTTTGTTAATCAATTATTTTGATAATAGTGTTGCAGAGAAGTAGGAAACCTTTTTAACTTGTGTGTTTATTTTAGAACTAATTTCACTGGTTCTGTGGCATACATTTGTTTGATTTTTAAAAAATTAAATGTTGAAGATAAAATTGAAGACTTACTGTACGTTCTTGCTTGAATCCAGATTAGTTTCACGTCATGTTCACTTCACAGAATCCCCATCACTTTACCTTTTCCTCCATCAAACCTCTCATCTGGGTTTTGCTTTTGTTTGTGTTTTTACTTCAGGAAGATTGACGTTGACCAACTATGCTCTGTACTTTGAGTCTGGTGTTGGTTTATATGACAATGCTGTGCGATATGATTTGTCAACAGACATGAAACAAGTTTTAAAGCCTGAACTAACTGGTCCTTTGGGTGCACGTCTCTTTGATAAAGCTGTCATGTACAAGTCAATATCAATGTATGTTCTCTAACTGGTTTATTATTTTTGTTCCAAATGCTGTGATTATTCTGACTTCAGACCCTCTATAGAGCAGAGCCTGTTTATTTGGAATTTCCTGAATTCAAAGGTTCTTCACGGAGGGACTATTGGTTGGATATCAGCCTTGAGATTCTGCGGGCTCACAAGTTCAATAGGAAGTATAATTTGAAAGAAAGTCAGCAGTCTGAAGCACTTGCTCGGGCAATTCTTGGAATTTTCCGGTACCGTGCACTTAGAGAAGCTCTTCACGTCTCCTCGTCCAATTTCAAAACCCTGTTGTGTTTTAACTTGGCTGAAAGTATTCCTGGGGGATATATGATAATGGAAACTCTATCAAGTTGCCTGAAACAGGGTTCCAGCTCCATGCAACAGGATATATTAAGTTCTCCAAGCAGAAAGAGACAGCCGTTATTTCCAGTTGCACTTTTGACTCTTCGTATACTAAGAATTATTTCATCCAGGGAGACAGATATGAATGAAGAAGCAACATTTCAGGTTGGAGATGTTTGTGTTGGCAAAGAAAATCCATTAGAAACTATAGTGAAGCAGTTGAAACGGGATACAGGAAGAGCTGAAGCTGCTCAAGCAACTGTTGCTCAGGTGAAAGTAGAAGGTGTTGATACCAATGTAGCTGTCATGAAGGTTATTTGAAATCCTAACCTATCAACTTTGTTTTTGGTTTTTTCCTTTGTGTGCGAGAGTAAATCAGTGAGACATTTGTTATTAACTTTTACATTTAATTGAAATAGGATAATGTGGAAAATGTAAATATTGATATCTGCTATAGTGCTATACAACCATAAAGTGCATGTGTGTTATTTTAGGAAAGGTATCAGATCAGTGTGTTATCTCCCCTTGTTTCCTATTGATAAATGATGCTGGTCAGACCGACTCTTGGATGACTTACGGCCTGTTACATCAATATACATATATTATCAATTTGTCTCGTTGCCTTCATTAGTGATAGGCCTTTCATATATACAACCATTTCTCCAAAGTTGCAGACTAATCTATGGTAATTACATCTAATTTCTAGCTGTATATAAAAGGAAAACAATTTACAGAATACAATGACTGATCTGGTGTGCGTGAGTGGTGATTGCCATATATAAAAAAGATACTGTACTGCCAGCTAAATTGAGATTGGGCTGGGCCGAAATTGGGTTGGGCTGAAAATAAGCTGGGCCGAACACTTCCACTCACGTTAACATATATGACCCCACTATCTAAAACATTGTTACTTGGTGATTTATTGCAAGTGGGTCGCATGAATATGATAAATGTGAAAAGAAACTATGGATGAGCATACCAAGGAAAGCATACTCTAATCTTTCTGCTAACTAGCAATCTACGTTCCTTCTTCATGTTGTTCTCCATCATCATGAAATAATTCTTCGGGGATATCTACTTAATCTGCATTTTAAATTTACAACATTATTGTACATCATGGATAAAAGTTCAATTTCCTGCTTTGTTGAGTGATGCACACGACCAATATATTAGTTACATTTTCTGTGAAAAATCTATTTTTTGGCATTGGATATTTCTAGTTTTCTTTCCTATAAAATCAAATTTATAGTACTAAATACGATTGTCTGGCAATATTGTTGTGTGATATCATAGAATATCTAGATGTCCCAGATTTTTGTAATTTGGTTCTTTCTTTCTCCATAGGAATTGCTTTTCCCTCTCATAGAATTATTTAATCGGCTGCAACTTTTGGTGTCATGGGAAGATCCCTACAAATCATTGATGTTCGTGTTACTCATAAGCTATTTGATAATTAGGTAAGATTATTTTGGCGAGTTTATTGTTTCTTTATGTATTATGTTCCTGCAATAGATCTTGATTTTTCAAGATTAGTATTAAGGTACTTCTGTTATTTATATTTGTTACAAAATTATGTGTGAAATTACATAAACATGACTAAAACTTGTGCTACTATATTGTTTAAATTGGCATCGAAACATCATAACTTAGGTGTGTTGCCCAAACTGATCACAGCGGGTTAGAAATTTTGATATTAGAGTTATGTAACCATCTTTTGGGTTCATTTGGAGGGAAATAATGAGCATGTGAAACCTTGTTTTTATTGAAGTAGTACTAATTGATTTATAGGCCAATATTGTCTGGAAAATATTATTATTTTTATGACTATGGGTGTTCAGACCAATTTACACGCACCTCGATTAATCCCACGGAGCCCTGAAGTTTACAGTCGGGTACTCATCTCGATGGTCCTGAGAGGACTCTAACTGGTGACCATTGGGAAGCAAACACAAGGTCTGACCACTAAGCTATTCCTTAGGGTTGAAATTATCAGCTCTGTATACTAATTAATAACTTATACAGAATTGTTGCTTCATCATTCTTCCTTTGTATCATCTCGACTCTATTCCCTGAGACATGGAGCTATATGTAAAAATCACTTTGAAGTTTCATTATGATCTGCAGGGATTGGATCAGGTACATGCTTCCACTCATCTTTATGTTTCTGGCACTCATCATGCTATGGAATAGGCATGTCAACAGAAGGAAGCATTTGGAAGCATTCAAAATCGTTGCTCCCCCGAGTAAAAATCCATTGGAACAACTGATAACATTACAAGATGCTATAGCTCAAGTCGAGATACTGATTCAAAGTGGCAACATTATTCTTCTGAAGCTACGAGCTCTTCTATTAGCTGCTGCTCCGCAGGTAATATCCGCTGCCTCCGCTCGTCAAAACGTAACATTAGTACAGTAAACTTGATGTGAAATTCTATGATTTAAGCAATCGACTCAGTTTTAATCATATGCAAGTTTCATAATTGAACGATCGTCTTAACTTTTATGTTTCATTATTATTTAGCTTACTCCTGTCGAGGCATTTGACATCTTATTTCATTCTTCTTTCAGGCAACAGACCATGTGACTCTGTTGTTGGTTTTCATGGCAGTGGCATTTGCAGTAGTACCACTGAAATTCATAATGCTCTTAGCTTTTTGGGAATTTTTTACCAGGAACACGAGCCTAAGGAAGGATATAAGTGAAAGATGGCTGAGACGGACGAAGGAGTGGTGGATCAGAATCCCAGCAGCTCCTCTTCAGCTTATCAAGCCGGATGACAAAAAGAGGAAGTAAGTTGATCTAAATACGACTACCATATGAAACCATATATTCAGCTAACCTTCTGTAATTGAATCTCATCTATATACTACAATCATAATTCTTTGGGGATTTTTAAAAATTTCCTATTTCGATGGTCAAAGTGAAAAAATAGTCCACTTGTAATCCTTTATTTATCAAATGTCTAACCCACTGCATTGAATCAAATTTGCAAAGTACTTTCATAATTCAACTTCAAATAACTCAAATACCAAATCGCCAAAAATGGAGAAATAACTCATTCAAAGATTATTCCTGTTTAATTTGAAATGAGACTGGAAATACCAACCGATGACAATTATGATATGGTTCAATTTTTGTAGCACGTAAATATACATACAGATCACCTATGAGAAGATGTCTGTGGCACTGGGTAAGTCATAGGACCCATGTTCATAGGAGCACCAGTAACCACTTGTCCAGGAACACCATATGCAACGTGTACTGGTGCTGAAACATTCAGAGGCCCATTCACCGGTGTGCCAACAGCAGAAACAAAGGGCCCTCCTACGGGTTGACCAATAGTGGGTGCCCCGTACATGCCAACTCGTGGGCCAGCTGGGGTTTGAGGTGTTGATCTATTAGAATTGACAGACGAACCTCCGGCAGGCAAGCCATTGGTCTGACCAGTGATGGGATGCTGTGGTACCGAAAGATCTACAGCGTTGACATTGGTGATGTCATGAATGCTCGATCGCCTTCTATCTCTGTTCATTGAGTTCAAACGATTGTAATACTTCTGAGCATGGCTTGCGACTTGTGTAGGAGTTCTCGTCACAACATAGTTCCGGGAAATGCTTCGCCAATCGCCTTTTCCATGTTTATCCAAGCCAGCAAGAAACCTCCTGTTGAAGGGGAAAAAAAATTGAAACCATCAATTAAATACTAACGAATATTAAATTCAGGATGGAGCCAAGCACAACATCCAGATGCAAGTATATACAAGAGCAAACACTAGCACGACAATAGTAAAACATCTATAGCATGTTCCTTGAGGCTATTGAAAAGAAAAAGAAACTTAAATTTGTCCATAGTTCTCTCCATTACTACGTACCAAACATACCCGGAAGACCGAAGTTCACATTTGGCAGAATGCTATCAAGTTTGTCGTTCAAGTATAGAAAGTAACTACAAAATGAAAAATCTGAAGAAAATTCTTATCAATTTGCATCTAATTTCTCCACAATATTAGAACCTTTTGACCATTTAGCATGCACAATTCTATCGGCTCTTAAAAAGTACACAAAAATGTTACAATGCTTGATGAGAGAACAAACATGGAATCAAAGCATATAATGATGTTGAATAAACCAAATTTACATAGAAGCTCAAGTGCCAAGTGTGACGGATGCTTAATCTATAGCTTGAAAAATGTCTAGGTCATTTTTCCATTTTCTTTTAGTTTCATATCAATCCAAGCTTAGTTTGAATGTCCCATTGTGAAAAGCATGCCCTCAGGTCCGCAACTTTGCTTGAAAGTAGATTTTAAGCTGGTTTTAAGCACAGCCAAAACCCTCTTGGTTAGTATCAAACACCATAATCGAAAAAACTTGTGCAAGAGAGAAATGTAGAAAATAGTTCTCCACTACTTATAGATGCTAGAGCCAGAAATCTGCGAGCAGCAAATTTGTGTGGAAGTTAGCTTCGAACTTAAATGAAGTAATCATCATATTAAGCATTATCATCTGCTAACACATTCCACGACCCCACAAGTCCTTGAAATCAACTCTAGGCCTACACGTGATTAGAAGCTAAAATCATATACTGAATTTACATCAAGAAATAAGATAAATTGGTTAAAAGAAGGGGGGGGGGGGGGGGGGAGTATT